TATTTGATCTTGTACATCAATTGTATTTGTCCAGCAAAACACCATTATTGTCCAGCAATGTAATCCATAATTTACTGAAACGTAACAAATAAGACAAAACGTAATACATGACTTCTCTGTTGTTGTATTTATCTTTAAGGAGTTAAAAAAAAAAGGTGGTCCTCTATATGATTTTGAATTTTTATCTTTGGGTAGCTAAAAGAGAGGTCTTCATCCCTCCAAAATTCGTCAATATTTTATTCGTGTAATATTTTTAAAAATTTCCCCTTTCAAAATTTCCCATAATATTCATTACGATACAGATTATTTCAATTACGTTAAAGATTACCTTTTCATTACAATACAGAGTAGGTAAGAGATTACACATGTACGAGCAATATATGTAACTATATACATCATTGATGTGATTGTGTGACCTGAATTATCGACTGCCGGCATCCCACTGGTACAGAAGCGCCATCCTAATTTTATACATTTTGAGGGACATTTTTTGTATATAGAGATAATTCTCCTTACCTCTTCACTCCATAGTTTTATTACAGAAGTTTCAATCTTTTTTTTATTGGTGTCTTCGACAGTTAGGCCATTAGACTCGTGTTCTATGTAGGTTATAGTTATAGTTATGCAGTACTAGTAGTCTAATACTCCATGCAGGAGTGCTAGTACATTAATACCTCTGCATTAGGATGGGCTGAAAAAATGAAAGTCATTATAAAAACTTCTTATTATCTTATTTTTTTTTTTTTTCGCAATTTTAAAATTATATTTTCAGCCCTCTACCAGCCCCTAAAATAGCTAAAAATAAAATAAAAATTAATATTAACTGTAAACTTTTAATTAGCTATACCCATTAAAAGCTGTGTTTAAGCATATACACTGGTTGTTATTTTTTTCAAAATTTTAAAAATACGTTTTAAGCCGCTCTACTACCCCCTTAGAAAATTTATAATAGAGAAATTTACTTTCATTATGACAAAATTGAAATCCCGATTTTCAGTAGAATTGTAACCCAACTATTTTTCACTATTAAAGCGCCCTTTAATTTACACTCTTTAACATCCCACTCCCACTCTTACATAAAAATAGTATCTACTGTTTAAACATTAGGTCTGTTCGGGTTCTTTAAAATACATTGAAAACTATCAGAGGACTAGTTGACCAGTGGACAGTTTAATAGTTGTGTGCGACGTATACTTTAGAATTGAACTGTTCCACTAGTTCTCGGACGGTTTGCATCGAGTTTTAAGGAAACCCGAACAAACCTTTTATATCTTCTCAACGTCAAATCACCTAAAACTGTAATCTTTTTAAATAGGTAGAAACAAAACAAGACATGTGTGTTTTAAATTGTAATTTAACTACGAGTTGACTAGGAGTCAAATGGAATGTCCTATATTTGGAAACCCAACCCATTTGAACCCTCGAATGTTGCCGACAATTAAACAAAGCTACGATGTTATTTATACATACGCTGTGAACTAAAATATCAAAAATATAGTGGAAAGGAACCAAGTTTTTTAGAGGTTTGCAATGAAATTGTGCCTAAAATTGAAAACATTTGGAAAGAGGCATAGATTCCAACTGTTTTAAAAGACAGAATTATGCAATTAATACGGAAGCATTATGAAAAATATAAGAAACAACAGCTATGACGAAACGGTAAATACATTTATCTACTATCAATATTGTAATGTCAAACTTAACAGTTGTCACTTGAATTTCGTAATCACGTACTTTACCGCACTAGTGTGGATTGATCTCCGAAGGTGTTCTTTGTTACCAAATAGAAAAAAAAACGCGATCCATCTTGAAGTTTTAATGCTCTTCCAGGGACTGGTAACTGATCTTGAAGTTCTGGCAATCGACCAAACTTCTTCCGGAATACAGATGCCAGACCTCAAGCGTCATATATGTTGGCGGAAGTGCTATGGACCAGCGAGTATTCTTTTGTAATCGTGAACATTAATACAAATTTCCTATCCTATTATCGGCTGGTTAGAGTATCTAAATCTAACTCCGTTATGGAAAATGGGGGTGTATTAAAAAAATATCGATGTTATAATTCCTCCTACATGAATTATCCTGCATGTATTAATTTAATTTGAAAATAAAATTCGAAGGTTTCGAGCGTTTTTTTTTTTAAATGTGTTCCTTGAATTTTTAACTTTTTATTCAAAATGTGGCAAATTGAAATAAAAAAATCGACAAATACCTTTTCAGGAATTTTCTTTAAAATTGATATGTTGGCTAAAAATTCATTTATTCAATATTTTACGAAAACACTGTACTAATAAACTAAATTTTTTGACCTATCATTGCCATTAAATTTTGTATTTTGATACTATTGAAGAAAAAATAAAGTAATTTTCATGTCCCGAAAGTATTTACACTGGACTCTTCTGTGAATTTTGTTAGCTCATCTAATAATGGTCCCTTTGGAAACTTGTTACGTAAGTAACTATTGTTTCTGCCGGAATGTAGGGTATTTTAATCACATAAAATTTTGCAGATACCTAATAATTTTATACTAAGCTTTAAACCGACACTCTATAAAATTCGAAAAACTATTATTATAAACCCAACCGAAGTGAAACTAGCATGAACGAGACTATCGTTCAATGATATACATTATCCGTTCACTTGAAATGAGACTGAACAAAAAGTATTTTGAACCATCGCCAAGATTTAGCAATCAGAAAAATAATCTCTTTTCACGTAAACAAGGGGAAAATGATTTGTTGGCCAAAACTTATATAATGGAGACGGCTTCAAAACAAGAAAAAAAAACAAAGATCGAAGCCAAATATATACCAAATAAAAGTCGATGCTTGAAATATGTATTACATACTATAAAATGTATGTTTTACTTTGCGATATTAGCGTGAGAACTGATTTTGTAACGTCACTTAACGCGTTATTTATTATTAAAATTAAAAAATAAAACAATAACCACGCGATTTCAAGGAAAGTTCAACTGAAACTGTTTTTGACTGTGAAAATACTAATCCCACTGATTGATCTCACTTTGTACAGTAGTTCAGGAACTTATCATATTTATTCCTTTTTAGAAATGACTAAGCCAATGGAAATTAAAACACGCTGGTTTGAAAAACACAATAACAGATTTTATTCACTGAACTGGAACATGGAATTTTGAACATTGTATTGGAAATATAAAACCTTACTTTTTCGAGGGATATGGTGATAAATGTTGATGTTTAAAAATGAGACAAAAAAAAGCAGTTTAAAATTCTTCGAAATAATGTGCTTTATTTGAATGATGTAATGAAAATACTGTTTATGTTCTCGTTTCGGGTATATTTGTAAATTGCGTTATGACAGCTATTCGCCGGGACGCGAAGGAAGCGACATCTTGTGACCGCATTAAATCTGGCCCTATCAATGATGAATTACATGTAAAATTTGTTATAAATACAAAATAAAAAGAAAATCGCTGTAAAATATAAATGTAATACATGATAAATATTAAATAAATAGTAAATATTACATATCGCGATTAAAAAAAGTAAGTATAAATAATTTTAATGAGTATAAAATACATTTTATTTTAAATAGAATAATACTGAATAGATAAAGGCTAAAAATAAAGAAGAACAGAAGAATAGTATTAGGTTAACTGTCAAAAAAAGGTTAGTTTAAAAATTTAAACTATTAATATGTTTTAATAAATTCTCTGCCAATGAACATCATTATTCAAACAGGATTTGAGGCAATATCTCATGAGATATTGTTTCAACCTAAAACTATGTACAAAGTAAAACAACTGGTAAGGGCAGATCATGTAAGAGAAGTGAAAAAATTTAGAAAATGCGCGGACTTGACTCTTGACTCCTCTTCTGATTTTTTACCTCCAATAAAATGATCGCTGCAAATGCAATCAATTGGTTTTGGAATCCACGGTGATCCATCAAGACTATAAAAATATTATTTTAATTATAAGAGATATTATAAGAGATCTCATAAAAGTTAGGTTCTACATTACTTACTTTTTTCTTTTAACTGCTTCTATCCATTTCGCTCTTTTTTCTAATTTCCAACTGGCAGTTGGAAATGTATAAAATTTGCAACTAGTATTTTTGCCTGTATTTTTGCAATTCACAACGCAACAAGTAGAATGCCCCATTTTTCGTATAGAATAAGTAAGGTTAACTGTCAAAACGTCAAAACACCGAGAAAAACAAACCGTATTTTGCTTAGGTATTTTGTTCATTATGTCATATTCAGGCTATCGTATGCCGTGAAGATTTGTCCCTATTACTTCTGAATGGTTAAAGATTAAAGTATAGGAATTCCTTTGTTGGCAAGAAAAAAGTATGATTAACAAATTTGTATTCCTGCAAAATTTTCCAAAACTCAATAGTTTTTGATATAATGGCGTAATAATTAAAAATTAAATGTACTTCAATTTAAATTTTTGTCAAAACTCAAAAACTAATAACCTTAGGAAAATTAATTATTCACCATTCGACGGAGAAAAATGTTCCCTACAAATTAGCAGGAACGAAAAATTTTCGTAAATCCAACCGTTCAGGAGATATTTAAATTCTTTTATTAATTTATTCACAACAAAATCCAGATTTAATGCCTACTTTGTCCACTGCGAACGCTGCTGTCGATTCGACTGTCCCCACCATATACTTTGCACCTTGCGAATACCCACTCCCGCATTCCAAACCTGATTAGCTATATCTTCTAACTGTATAAATTACTTAGTTACATCCCCTAAGTAAGAGGCATTGTTTCAATAAAGAGACAAAAGACAATATTATTAATTTTCATGACTTGTGTTATTCACACCGCATTCTACTGTGTAGTTATATGTTTTTAATGTCAGTTAGGTATTTCGTTTCATTTCAAGGAGCATATAAATGACAAAGTTTAAATTCTTGGTATGAGACAAGGCCGGCTTCTGTTTTGTGAGTGTTTAAATGCAGACAAAGTTGTATTTAAATACTGATAATATTATAGTCATAACCAGTTTAGTGAACAATCGTTGAATCGAGTAATAAGTAAGTAAATACCTTTTTTAGCAAATAAGGCCTATTATCTAGTTCTTCGGGACTAAGATTATTATTGGCACATGAAGCTTCGATGGGCTCAGCTCTATTAGCTTTCAGAACTCTAACAGTCTGAAGTCTTCTTCGTAGGTTTTGAAGGGCGAAGGCTTCCTCACGTCTTCGACTTGGCTGGAAATTAAAAGAATTCTTTTAAATAAAAGACAGAAACTAATTAGGTGTAGGTTATCATTTACATTTTAAAACGACAGGTTTTTTAATAGGTAAATGGAGAGGAAGGAAATAGTGCGAAGGCCTAGAAGTGCCACATTGTATTGTTTTTTATTTATTATTTCGACTTAAAGTCAAAATGTTGATTTTGAAGTAGAAATTACGACTTTAAACTGGATTTTCAGGTCCAATTATAGTAAAAAGTCTCAAGTGCGAACCTTTAGTGGAATAAGCTGAAGTAATTAAAGTGTTTCCTTATTATTGATATGTACAGAAGAATGATGGAAAAGAAATAAACATACCTAATCATTATCTAACTCCTTGTGGAACAGCTACTGGAATTTCTCCCATTAAATCAGCGGAGCTAGATAACGATTAGATATTGCCATTTTTTCCATTATTCATTCGCACATGTGAATATTAAGTATTAGCTTCTATTCCACTATAGGCTTATTTAATTCAGCTTGTTTTACTATATAGTACTGGAATAGCTACTATTAAATCAGAGGTGACCACTCAGACTATCTTGATTGTTATTACATTATTTTTGACATTCATTTATATTGTCGTGTTACTGCCAATGAGGTTGAATTAGTATTATATCCATGGTTACTGCCAAGTGCATTTCTAGTTTACTAAAACCTAGTTTCCCAAAGCTTCTTAAGTCAATGCCAATTCAATTATTGTCTTTCAAATAGTGTTTCCCTCAGATAAATGAAATATTAATAAGTAACGGACGTTGTTTAACATAGGCTTTGTTTGAAGCCAGTATATACTAACGTTTGACAATTCTGATCTCCATGGACGAATCAAATAGTTTTTCAAAGTCCAAAGGATCGTTGTGTAAATATTTTGTCAGGGACAAATTTAAAGAAAAATGCAATTCAAATATAAAATTTTATTTTTCAAAAAATAAATTCTGCTACTTTTTACTCAAATGTAATAAACGACATTTATAAATAAAAATTCCTCACTCGACCATTTACTGTTGGGTTCTAATTAACAGTGCTGTTCCTGAAGTGGCGCTGGGAAACAGTAACAAAGCCCACACAGAACACAATGTTTCAGAATTTAAAACTATAATATTGTTTATAGGTAGATACATGATAATAATTATTTGTGCATCGTAATTTGTATAGGGTAGGATAAAGTATGCCAATTTTACACTGTTCGTCGCTAACATGACGAAAAGGCGTATCTCAAAATTCTTGGATTGAGTTAGATCCATCAGAAGGCGTTTTCAGAATTTATATATATATATATATATATATATATATATATATATATATAGCGCCGTAGTATCTTCTTGAACCAATCGTCTATATCCGACGAGAACATCCTGAACCATCCGAACAAACCTGAGCCGTATATGTGGTTCAGGATGGGAGACCCTTATAAAACACTTTAAAATACCCTGTAGACTGCCTGGAATAAATTTGAAAATGGCTCAGATTTGGACGAAACTCCAATCTTTAGTTCCAACATTTTCCGCATTCTGAGATGGTGGCGCTCTAGTCGCCTCGATTTGTATATCTGTATAACAACAATCCTGACCCATCGCTTGCATGCAGCCGTAGCGGAATATTATTAGTTTCTTTCAGCGGCTTACAATATTTGAACACGTTAATGACCAAATCGGTCCATATAGACCTGCGGTAACATTGTACAAGTACAAAAGACCATGGCGGTCCTTAGGGATCGCCTTAAAAAGTTATGACCCTTTCGTAAAATAGTTCGTGCCGCTTATTAGTAGATACTTTCATAGAAAATGCACCGCTTAACCTGTAGATTTTGTCATAAAAAATAAACTGCTTCGTCTTTTAGATTGTTATTATAAAAAAAATATAAAAAATATAAAATACTAAAAATAACCAAAATTATTATAATCTGCCAAAAAAGTGTACAATATGTCACGTAAAATGCTTCTGCGTGAATGTGTTGAAATCCGTAGCGGAATTTAATATAATAGAAAATAATACATTGTGTAGTATTTATACATATACTCTTTACTATTATTTGTACCGCTTGTTGCTTATTTCAACGACGAAATCTGTCATCTAAATATATAAAATAGTTAGTCCCGACGGACTAGCTGATCTATCAACGTAGAGCCAAAACTACCAAGTCTAGATAGCTGAAATTTAAAACATAGATTTATTTAATAACATAAATATCCCCTAAGAAAATATTTTTGTAGACTTCAAATTTAAGAAGGGAAAACTTTTTATAAAAGTAGGTAACTTGTTCTTTAAAGTTAAAAACATTAAAATTTGAATTACAACTTAATTAATAGTGACATATTTCAGGGTTTTGGGTTTTCACATTTTAAAGAGGTCCTTTCGCCACCAATGTTAAATAAAAAATATTAGATTATGACTAAAATTTATTTTTTTCTAATAGTAGAAGTCCTTATTTATCTAATAGTGAACTTTTAACTATACCTGTACTGTACTGTACACACACATTTAAAAAAAAAAAATCTCAAAATTTTGCACGGTAAGGTATAGTTAAAAGTTCACTATTAGATAAATAAGGACTTCTACTATTAGAAAAATAGTATATTATGCAACGATCATGTAATGATGGTTATTAATACACGAGCATTAACCGGGATACGAAACGAGCCAAAGGCGAGTTTCGTATGGTTTATGCGAGTGTTTTAATAACCATTACATGAGAGTTGCATACGCTATTTTTTCTACACCCGATAAATAATCAAGACCTATAAATATTCTATTTATATTGGCATTGAACACAATAACAGTAATTACTCGTATTTCTATAAAAAATTCTACAAAATTGTAATTAATGGTATTACCTTGGGTATTGGTATTACCACAGATTTTTGGGGCAAAATATTTTGTACTGCATTTTCTCCTTTCTCCGATATGTGTGGAGAAGTCTTCTATATCGCTGATATCAGACATTTTAATATTATAATTATCGAAGTTTAGCTATCTACGAAAATTTAATACGTTTTGACAACTAAAACAATTACATAGGAATTTAGGACAAACGTCAAACATCATGCTTGATTGAAAAATTGTAGGTTTCTATTGATTAAAAATCTGTATCATAATGAAAAATCTGTATCATAATGGGTATCATTATGAAACGGATTATGGGCATATAAGTGCATTATTATAATACGGGTGTAGAAAAAATTAATTTTAGTCATAATCTAATATTTTTTATTTAACATTGGTGGCGAAAGGATCTCCTTAAGAGCGAAACGGAAGGAAGGGAAAGTTTGAATAGAAGTATCGATTTTTTAGGTAGGAACTTGAAAATTGGAATTGGTACCACTCATCATAAATAATGTGTGTATAGGGGTTTTTGTATTCAAGGGGAAAGTGTGGGGTGAAAGTTTGTATGGGAATAACGTAAAAATAATAATAAAAATAAATAAATAAATGAAATTAAAAAAAATTGAATATAAATAAATAAACTAAAAATAAATAAAAAGAAAGACAAATAAATAAAAATAAATAAAAATAAATAAAAATAAATAAAAATAAATAAAAATAAATAAAAATAAATAAAAATAAATAAAAATAAATAAAAATAAATAAAAATAAATAAAAATAAATAAAAATAAATAAAAATAAATAAAAATAAATAAAAATAAATAAAAATAAATAAAAATAAATAAAAATAAATAAAAATAAATAAAAATAAATAAAAATAAATAAAAATAAATAAAAATAAATAAAAATAAATAAAAATAAATAAAAATAAATAAAAATAAATAAAAATAAATAAAAATAAATAAAAATAAATAAAAATAAATAAAAATAAATAAAAATAAATAAAAATAAATAAAAATAAATAAAAATAAATAAAAATAAATAAAAATAAATAAAAATAAATAAAAATAAATAAAAATAAATAAAAATAAATAAAAATAAATAAAAATAAATAAAAATAAATAAAAATAAATAAAAATAAATAAAAATAAATAAAAATAAATAAAAATAAATAAAAATAAATAAAAATAAATAAAAATAAATAAAAATAAATAAAAATAAATAAAAATAAATAGAAATAAATAAAAATAAATAAAAATAAATAAAAATAAATAAAAATAAATAAAAATAAATAAAAATAAATAAAAATAAATAAAAATAAATAAAAATAAATAAAAATAAATAAAAATAAATAAAAATAAATAAAAATAAATAAAAATAAATAAAAATAAATAAAAATAAATAAAAATAAATAAAAATAAATAAAAATAAATAAAAATAAATAAAAATAAACAAAAATAAATAAAAATAAATAAAAATAAATAAAAATAAATAAAAATAAATAAAAATAAATAAAAATAACTAAAAATAACTAAAAATAAACAAAAATAAACAAAAATAAATTAAAATAAATTAAAATTAATTAAAATTAATTAAAATACATTAAAATAAATTAAAATAAATTAAAATAAATTAAAATAAATTAAAATAAATTAAAATAAATTAAAATAAATTAAAATAAATTAAAATAAATTAAAATAAATTAAAATAAATTAAAATAAATTAAAATAAATTAAAATAAATTAAAATAAATTAAAATAAATTAAAATAAATTAAAATAAATTAAAATAAATTAAAATAAATTAAAATAAATTAAAATAAATTAAAATAAATTAAAATAAATTAAAATAAATTAAAATAAATTAAAATAAATTAAAATAAATTAAAATAAATTAAAATAAATTAAAATAAATTAAAATAAATTAAAATAAATTAAAATAAATTAAAATAAATTAAAATAAATTAAAATAAATTAAAATAAATTAAAATAAATTAAAATAAATTAAAATAAATTAAAATAAATTAAAATAAATTAAAATAAATTAAAATAAATTAAAATAAATTAAAATAAATTAAAATAAATTAAAATAAATTAAAATAAATTAAAATAAATTAAAATAAATTAAAATAAATTAAAATAAATTAAAATAAATT